AGGCCCGCGCTCAGTGCAGTGTGGGTGCATCATTCTCACAGGTGTCCCCGTTTTCCTGACCACGAAGCCACACAACAGACCAAGGCGGGCCCTGTGGGGGGGGCGAGGAGTGGGATGGACGCAGAGCCCAGGGGCCCCATTGTCCTGGACGGGGGTGTGATCATGTGACCAGGGTCAGGTCCTCATCTCCAAGGGGCTCAGTCTGCTTGGGGGCACTGACAGATGAGTGTCCGTCAGGGTGCTGCACTAGAACATTTGAGTCAAAGAAGCTCAAACTACCCTGGTTTGTTATCCGTCAGGACAAGACGTCCGTGTGCAGGAAGGCTCTCGATTGGCTCATCAGGGCTCGGTGATATCAGCAGGATATCCACCGAGACCCAGGAGCCTTCCCTGTTTCTGCCCTGCCAGTCGCTGCTTGGTGGCCATATCTCCCCCCATGGTCCCAACCTGGCTGCTGTGGCACCGTGAGTCCCAAGTCCCAGCAAAACGGGAGGGGGGCTGTCTTTCACACAACCACATTATTGTCTTAAAGGGAGGTTTGCAAGGAGGCCTGGAAACTCAAGGTTTCCTCCTGCTAAGCTCTCTTCTCCATTTTCACTACTTCAGTGATGAGAATTACCTGCCCCACCCCACGGCAGCGCTCCCACGCGTCATGTCGGCTTTAGACAGACGTGCTCTCTGAGCAAAACCCTCATTTCCTTTCTCTAGCTTCAGATTGGGCCCCCTCAGGCCCAGCTCACTCTCTCATAGGCCTTGAATCAAGCCATGAGGAGTGGTCAGCTACGATGATACCCCAAACATTTACCCACTGTTTCCCGGCCACGGTGAATTCCTGCTCTGAGACCCAAGGCCCCTGGGTAACAGCTGGACCTAATTCTACGTGAGTCCATCGCAACAGCTGGTTCCCACGTGGGAGGGGGTGGCCTCGCTGCCCAGAGCCCTGTGACCCTCACTTAGCAAGTCCACATGTGGGCTTCTGTCACGCGTCACACCCCATGCCTGGATTTGTAGGATTCTTTCACCTACAAACATCGGAAAACCTGGGGGAAAGTATAAACAAAAAGGGCATCATCGCCCCTGTGTAGTGGTCTGAAAGGGGCCCCCAACTTCGTGTCCACCCAGAATCTTGCAGTGAGACCTTATTTGGAAATAGGATCTTTGCCGATGATTGACTTGAGATGAGGTCCTTGGCCTATGTGACTGTCCTTATCAGAGGGGGCACCTGGACACAGGCCCGCCCAGGGAGAAGCCAGCCAAGGACAGAGGCAGGGGTCGGAGCGGTACAGCCACAAGCCCAGGGACACCCAGGATGACCGGAGCCACCGGAAGCTGGCAGAGGCAGGAAGGACCCTCTGGAGAGCTTTCAGGGGGAAAGCGGCCCTGCCCACACCTTGATCTCGGGGTGCCCACAGCCACACGTGGGCAGTGGCCCCTGTGTTGGGCAGCTCAGTGGTACAGGACTCGTCCAATCGGTCATCGTCGTCTGACCGACAAGGAGGGGCCCTGTCCTAACTCTAAGCGACAGCAGATCCACTCCTGTCCTCGAAGTCACACTGCTGTTGGCCCAGCGGTTGCTCTCCGCCCCTCCAGCCCTGAGGGGCTACCTGTGGTGATGGGACCTCTGCTGTCCCTGCTCCCTCACTGGCCCTTCGACTTGTCCATCACTGCAGCCAGTTCCTGCCTTTCCTTCCATGGTAAATGAGTCAACACACAGACACTGAACTGTTCCCTGTCCCCCTTGGAGGCTGGGACCCTGCCCCCAGCCACCCTGCGCCCTGGAGGGGCAGGTCCACCATGCCAGCCAGCCCTCTCCAGAAAGTTCCCCCTTGTAAATAAATGAGAATAGGAACGGCCCACATGGAAATGTAATGGTGTTAAAATCATTGAGTTTCAAACAAACGTGGGAGAGCAAACGAAAGGTTTCAGCTTTTTAATTTAAGAGAAGAGGAATATGATATAATTTCAATTTGTGATGAGATGAGATGCTCCCGATATTGTGGTTTCAATTGGATTACATCCGATCCCACTTTGTACAGTGTCGGTGGCTGCAGACTGAGGTGCATGCTTGGTGTCCTTTGTTAACAGTGTAACTGAGGGGTGTGTGTGTGGTGTCCTGTTAACAAAGTAACTGAGGTGCGCTCATGGTGTCCTCTGTTAACAAAGTAACTGAGGTGCGCTCATGGTGTCCTCTGTTAACAATGTAACTGAGGTGAGCCCATGGTATCCTTTGTTAACAATGTAACTGAGGTGTGCCCATGGTGTCGTCTGTTAACAATGTAACTGAGGTGCGCCCATGGTGTTGTCTGTTAACAATGTAACTGAGGTGCGCCCATGATGTCCTCTGTTAATAATGTAACTGAGGTGCGCCCATGGTGTCCTGTTAACAATGTAACGCCGAGCTCCATCCCTCTGCATCAGCTGGCCACCTGGAGGCTTGTTCCTACAGAATATGGAACTCTGACCCAGGACAGAGGGCCAGGAGGGGACAACTAGCTGGACTGGCTGACAGACAGGCTCTCAGGACCTGCCACAGCCACCTGGGTGAGGCCTCTGCTGGAGGGGTGGGGAGGGAGGCCCAGGGCCGGAGGGCCCCAGGAATCAGAGCACCCGACTAGTGAGGTGAGTGGGAGCCACAGCAGCCTCAGGGGAAGGGGGGTTCTAGGCTGCAAGAGGCAGAGATTCCATTTATGGGGCGACTATGGCTCCCACCCTGGGCCCAGTCACACAGGGCCCTTCCTTGGGGAGCCCCCAAATGGGACAGGGCAGCAGAGCCCCCCAGGGACGGCCCCTTGCCAGGGGCATTCACTCTGCTCCCTGTATCATCCCAGGTGGATGCCAATGACAAAATCCAGGACCCACCCCTCCTGACATCTGAGCCTGGGCACGCCTTTGAGACTCAGTTTCCCCTCTTGTTAAAGCAACAGAGCACTGCTTAGGACACCTGTTTCTGTGACGGGCCTGCTTCCTGTGTGGCTGCCCCCCACTCTCTACCTCTGTGACTCTTCCTGTTGCAGCTGCACGGGCCCCCCAGCCCCCCCGAACTTGTACGCAGCCAGGCCTTGGCCCACAGGTTCTCTCTACCCTGAATATCTTTCAGTTCAGGCCACAGACCTCAGACCCACAAGATGTGAGTGTGAAGGGTGCTATCCAGGGAATAGCACCCCCTTATGTCCCCCACCCCCACTGGTGACATTGTTTTTTCTGGGCCACCTCTGGGTAGAGAAAGGCCCTGGCACATTCCGAGTGTCTCCTGTACACACAGGCAGGAGCATAGCCCCTGAGCCACCCTGTCCAGTGGGGCCTCGTCCAGCGGGGCCTCTCCCAGTAGCTGTGGGCCCCCTGGACCTCCTGGCAAGTTGTGGGGGGTCCCCAGGGTAGGTGGGACCTGGGCCAACTCCTCTAGGTTGGGGATGGACAGTGGTGAAGCCAGGCCCCACCTGCACCCCAGGGGCTACCCCAGTGGTCCCCACAGCCCTTCCTGCTCTGCTCTGGGGCTGAATGGGCATCACAGGACCTGGTAACTCCAGTGACCCCCAAGGACTCATGTTTGTCCTGCAGTGACAGTGTTGCATGGGGTCCAACTTTACTGAGCACCCACTGTGCCCACTCAGCACCCGAGGAGGCCTCTGGATTCCCAGGGAGCAGCTGTGATGGGTGGGAGCTCCTTCACCCTGTGGGACACCTCTGAGGGGGTGTCCCTGGCAGCAGGACCAGCACCAGTTGCCCAAGGCTGTAACAAGCTGGATAAGATACCCTCTCTGGAACCCTCTGTGCCCATCTCAAAGGCCCCATATGTACCCCAGCCGGCCTGGAGGTGGGCCCCAGGCTGCAGCCTCCGGCCCCATCTATGTGCTGTGTGACTTCAGGGCAGTCACATGGCCTCTCTGAGCCTGTTTCCTTGTCTGTAAAACGGAGCTGCTGGGGCATCTAGGCCCCGTCCCTGCTGGGTGGCCCTCTGCCTCCCTCTGGTGGTGACCAGGCCACACTGTGCGGGAGGGGGCTGGTCTCAGCTAGAGGGTCCGGCAGGCCCAGTCCAGGCCACGCTCCAGGCCATCCTAACACATGTCTCACCCCAGGGCCTTTGCTCATAACCACCCAGGGCACCCAGCTGCTCCACCCAGACAGGTCCCGTCACAGCCCAGGCCCTGCTGACAGCTCAGGAGAGCCCCTCTCCCTCCATCCCCTGCCCTCCTGCCTCTCCTGGGGGGGTCTTGCTGGGACAGAGAGCAAGCAGGAGTTCTCCTTACCATCACTGCTGGTCCACACCCACCCACGTGACCCCATTGGTCACCAAAGGCTGAGAGGGCAGTGCCCTGGGCCAAGGCCACACAGCAGCAGAGCTGGGACTGAATCCGTCTGCACCAGGCAGCCCCGCCCTGCCCCATGTCACACCCAGACCTCAAGTCCCAAGAATTCTGGCTGAGACCCTCTGTGGGGCCCCAACAAATTCAGCTAGCACCTCTGGCTCTGTTCCCTCGGGGAGCCATGGGTGACCCTGCTGCCACCTGGTGGGGGATGCTGGTGCTTCGCCACTATGAGGGCCCATGGGAACCACCACGACCAGCTCCCACAGCAACTGGAGACAGCTCCGGAAGACACAGCCACCACCCTGCCCGTCACAGGGGGGGAGAGAGGCCCGAGGGGAAGCCACTCTCCTGGGTCACCAAGAGTGGGCAGTGCTGGGCAAGGACTCAGGTCTGAGCTGCAGGGACCTCTGCTGCCCTCAGTCCTCTGCCCAGCTATGTCCCTTCCACCTGGAGTCGGGGAACCCCACTCCCTTGCTAAGGCCATCAGGGCCTGTGCTTGATCCCTCCATCCCAGGACCCAGGTCACAGAGCTCAAGCTCTTGCCGGGAAGCCACTAAAATGACCGTCTAGACGTCCTGGCCAGGCCCAGAGCAGCCCAGCACCTGCCCCAGGCTGACCACGTGCTGCTGCGGACCTGCAACTCGGGCAAGACCATCCAGGAGCACGCGGGCAAACGGGAGACGGAACCCAGGCCACATGGTCAGTTTCTTTATTGAGGCCACTTGAATTCCACAGAGGGTGGTCCAGGTCCACCCCACGGTGCCCGCCCTGCCCAGCCCATAGGCCAGGGTCCTGCAGCCAGCCAGGCAGCTCACTCGGGTGTCCTGCTCCTGCCCTTCGGGGACCAGATCTTGGACAAGCGGAACTTGGATTTCTTCCTCTGGAGGTCTGAAGGGGGCGACACTGAGGACACTTGCCCAGCTCTTGGCTACTGCCCCTGGGGGACTGCCCTCCCTTCCACTGGGCAGAACCCGCCCTGGGCCCTCAGAACCTGCAGGCAGCCAGGCCCCAGCACAAGCCCAGACCCTCTGCCCTCCCGGGGGAACCACCTGGGTGCCTGCCTTTAGAGCGCCCACCTGGACTGGGCATCCCTGCAAAGCGCTCCCCTCACCCTGACCAGGTGGTCCCCAGCTGCTTCTTGGACCCCCTAACTGACAGGGAACTCACTCCCTTAGGCTGAGCCTGCCTGTCCTGTGTCAAGGCTGCCATAGAGGCACCCACTCCCCCAGGAGGCCAACCCCACCCAGGCGCAGCCCCCCCACCCCATTACCCAGCTTCTGGATCATGGTCTCCAGCATCTGGTCCTCCTCTTGCTCTCTGAAATGGGAACAGGGCCATGAGGAGCAGCATGCTGGGGGGACACGGGTCCCTCTTAGTCGGCCTCACACCTGAGCCCTGATCCCATCTGACACTAGGGTCACCTGCCAGCAAGCCCCACCTTGGCACCACCCTCTCCCTCCCTGGGCAGGTCCCTGCCCTTTCGGGGTCCAGACCCTCATCAGTGACATGGGGACAGGAGGGGACATGGACATCCTGGGCCAAGGGCCCCTCAAGCTCAGAGTGACATGTTTGAGTCTGGACCTTGGCCATTGACCCTGCGTGGCCAGAACAGGTCCCTTGGCCAGACATGGGGACAGGAAAGCTCTGTGGGGATGGTCATGAGGCTGGTGGCCCAGTGCAGCAACAGGAGACGCATGTGGCTACATGTATTTAAAATAGAAATAAAATGTAAAATTCCATTCCTCGCCGCCCAGGCCGTGTGTCCTGTGGCCACCATCGCAAACAGCAATCCCTTCACCGCAGAAAGTTCCACAGCTGGTGCTGACCCTGACGGTCAGGGAACAGGGGGTGCAAGGGGCTTTGTACTTGGTGGGGGGACCTGTAAGGCTGCCTGGGTGGAGCCTGTCCTTGGGGCCCAGCAGCAAAATGCTCATAGTGAGTCTCACTGATCAGGTCCCGAAGGTTCTGAGCTCAGTGACCAGTCCTGGCCTGCCTGGGAGAGGCCTGTGTTCCCGCCTTCACCTGGGCCCACCCTCACCTGGCCC